AATCTTAATGGATTTTTCATAACTTAATATCTGAAATGCTTCCCAAAAAATCATAAAATGGGCGGTGGTGGTGCATGCCTTTAATCCCAGCACTCGGGAGGCAGAGGCAGGTGGATCTCTATGAGTTTGAGGCCAGCCTGGTCTACTGGTCTACAGAACAAGTTCTAGAACAGCTAGGACTGTTACATAGAGAAACACGGTCTCAAAAACAAACAGAAAAATCCTATATTTTATGCTTTGTAATCAATGAAAGATTGATTTTGGCATGTTTCCATTAATATTTTCTTATATTTGGAATACTTTATAATAATTAGTGTTTTGTTTTTAAAACTGACAAGGTCACCATGTTTGGAATAGGGTCTTACCTAGACTCTGTTAAGTGTTTTAAAAAATGTTTGCTTATTTCCTATGCATGAGTGTTTTACCTGCATGTGTATCTGTGCTCCAGTTGGGGGAGGTTGTCATATTTGCTGGAACTGGAGTTACAGACAGGCGAAGGTCACCATGTGGGTGCTGAGAATTAAGCGCTTTAGAAGAACGGCCAATACTCTTACCTGCTGAGCCATTTCTCCAGTCCCATGAGTGAAGTTTTAAAGTCCTAACCTTTAAACAACTGGATTTATGAAAAGGATACCAGAATGCGAGGCACTGGAGTCAGCTTAGATTTTGTTGCTAATGGGCTACGTTGTTGGAGTTGAGCCAGTAATTGTGGTGAAGACTCTTGGTGATTACAGAAATGGGAGTTGAAAAATAATTAGGGACTTGAGGTGCACCTGTTGCATATTTTGCACACTATTCTCAGAGCTATAATTAAGCTAATGTTTATTGAGTTCAACTTATATACCAGGAATTCTGCACATGTATTTGGTGTTTTCTTTAAGTGGGATGAGGGACTGAAGCCATTGTCTTTCTAGGTAAGTGCTCTGCCACTGGCATGCAGTCTGTTTCCTGCACAAGTATTTCACAGACGATTTTCACTGCTCTAGGTTTCGCTGCCATTTATTATGCTCATTTAACAGAATGAGCACTCATTGAAGGTATGGAGACTGCTCAGAGCTGTACCTCAGAGGCAGAACCCAAGTGGTCTGAGGCTAGAGTTCATTCATGCAATTTTTTGTTTTATGATTTTCCCTCAAGTGTGAAGATTGGTGATGAGAGTTTAGGGATTTTTTTTTTTAAGATGTATTTATGTATAGTGTTCTGTCTGCATGTATCTCTGCAGGCCTGAAGAGGGCACCAGATCACATTACAGATGGTTGTCAACCATCATGTGATTGCTGTGCTGGGAATTGAACTCAGGACCTCTGGAAAACTAGCTAGTATTCTTAACCACTGAGCCATCTCCAGCCCCCAAGCTTAGAAATTTTAATGCTAAGCATTTCTGTGACATAACTCTCCAAAGGAGAAAGACATTAGAGCTAGTCTGGATTACTTCTCAAAAATGTGTAAGTAAGGTGACAGCATGTGACTGTAGTAAATAAAGAGAGTTCTTCTTTTTTTCTTGTTGCTTTATAATGTTGTAAAAACGTTTTTGGTTTGTTTGTTTTGTTTTTCGAGACAGGGTTTCTCTGTGGCTTTGGAAGCTGTCCTGGAACCAGCTCTTGTAGACCAGGCTGGCCTCAAACTCACAGAGATCCGTCTGCCTCTGCCTCCCGAGTGCTGGGATGAAAGGCATGTGCCACCACTACCTGGCCATAAAAACGTGTTTGAGAACTATTATAGCAGCAATGTTCTGGATAAATGGCTCATTAATATGTAAATTTAAAACAAATTTGGTATTATTGTTTGACTGCCTTAAATAAGGGCTGGTTATGTAGCCCAGACTGGCCTCAAACTCCTTCCTGCAATTACTGGTTTGTGCCTCTGTGCCTAGCCTTTAAACACATTTAGAGTTTACTGAAGATCTTAAATTGTCTTAGGGTAGAGCGGACTTCTTTGTTTCTAATCTTAATGCCCATGTATTTTTCTGAACTGGAATAACTTCATGGTATCTGTTTTGGACATTTTAGACACAATAACTCAGGGACTCTGAGATGGACCTGACTAGGAGTTTAGTGGCTGGAATTGGAGAAAACTATAAAGTGGAGCTTTCCCCTTAAATTTGGTTATACATTTACTTACATCTGTGTTTTAAACTAATAGCAAAAAGGTGTGGGTAGATTTAGAAGCAAGGTTGTGAATTACAGTAAGTGACTTTTGATGCAAGAAATGAGATTCTAGTATTAGCAGTGTTGTACTTACAGACCACTAGATGAAAACTTGATTTCTGGTTTAGGTATCAGATTTGTCACTAAATAAAATTAACACAGCTGAGTTATGTTATTTCAGTATCCTTGACATACACAGAAGGTATGTCTGGTAAGACTCAGAAAGGTTTTTCCTCAAGGACCACTTTAAAGCCGTAGGATACCTACACAGGAAGGAGGGAGACACGGAACATCAGAGGCCTAATTAGACTAAAGAAAATGCTTTCCCTCTGATTTGAGCTAACAAACTTCCCTATCCATGGGAACAGAGACTGGGGGAGCTAAGTATCTTTCTCAGCCCTGCGGATGGGTGATGGCGATTATCCACTTGGGTTATTTTTACAGGTTGTCAATCATGTGTTGTGAGGTCAGGCTATGTTCATTGCTTGTCCTTACTTTTGAAATTTCCAAAGGTCAGTTAGTAAAACATGACAGCACTATGGAGATGCGGCTGAGAAGAAGTTCACTTTAGAACTTCATACAGATTAGTCACATGAGTCCGCTGTACTTAATAAGAAAACCAGGTTTTAGAACCTAACCCGTTTACAGAAAAACTTCTGTGTCACGAACATCCCTCAATCCTGTTTGTATTCGCTTGCTCTTGGGTTTGTAGTTGATAGTAATTTCCTCTTTATCAAAAGTACTTCGTTGCTAAAGCAAGAATCTATGTAGAAATACCTCGAATATTCAACAGTGGGCATTTAAAACGTATCTGTCATTTACATGAACCGTCTTATCTTTAGTATGGGCACACAGGTTTGCTGGGTACAGAAGAAATGAGAGACTCTGGAGAGGTTTTGTGCTACTTTTATTTGATGCCTGCATACTGGTTTTCAGACAGCAAGAAGCACTGAAACATGTATTTGGTTGAATTAAGTGAACACCAGTTTAAAATGTGGGATACATGTGGTTAGTGTTAAGGTGGCACTACAGGCAGTAAGGGCTGTGATTTTTGAAGGGAACAATCCTTATGGGTTGAGAATTGAAGTCAGGAGACTTTATGAAGGAACTTGGGAGATATAGCCTGGATGATCAGGAGTTCAAAGTAACCCTTGGCTACATAGTCAGTTTGAGGCCCACTTGGCCTACATGACAACCACCTCCTCTTTCCAAAAAAAAAAAAAAAGGGATTTAAACACTGAAGAATGGGAAGATAAGATTCAGAGGTGGGAGGGAACTTTCCGGGAATGGGAATAATGGGTTACAGGAATGGGGATAATGGACGTTAAGAAGGGAGGCAAAAACAAAGCTATCTGGTACAGGGCAACACATAAGGCAGAGCTGCTGTAGAGGACTTGGCTTCTGTAATCATTTAAGGGCAACAATAAGTAATGTTTGTGCAAGGTCAAGTCTATATCTATGTTGATACATCTGTGCTCAATTTAAACATGAAAAAAATTTGTCTTCTCTTGGCTCAAAAAATGATAGACAGTGTTAAAATTACTTTCTTAATGCTATAGTTAAATCTCCGTTGAAAGGGTTGGGGCGGGTCAGAATTGGACAACACCGAGTTCAGTGGGTAAAAATCTGATTTGAATTCCTAACCCTTATTTTATTTTGATTTCCAACTATGGAAATCACAGTGACCTATGTTGATCTCTAAAACCTGGAATACACAGGGAATTGGCTTGACTGAAATTAGGAAATAGTGTACCTGACCTGGCTAGCTCCTGTTAATTAGATGTAAGTTTCCCAGGAAACTGACTCACTGTGTCTCTTAATTGCCAAACTTGATACTTTACAACTAAATTTACTTTTAGTTTTCATCTTTTTGAAATATTGATATTAATACCATGAAAGACGTTTCAAATAACTCAATTTTTAAAAGATAACTATTTAAAGACTCAACTTTCCATGTCACATTTATGGCCATAAACATTTAATGTTTCGTACACTTGGTTGTGATAAACACCGGCGTTAATTTTGTTAATGGTAACTTTACTTTTTAAAAACACTAATACACAAATGTGTTCAGCAGGCATTTTCAGAACACTGTGAGGTTGTTTTGGCTCCTAAGTTGCATTTCTGTTTTTCTACTATTGTAAAGTGCAGCCCTTTGCATATTCTAACTTGCCGTGACGTGGTCAAGTGCAGTTTCCTTCCTGTTGCTTGTGTTAGAGATAAGGCTACATTTCAGTGCATTCAAAACCACCAAGCCCCTGAAGACAGGGTCAGTATGGTAACTCCCAGCGTTTTTACTCACCGCTGGTTTTCATGAACAGAAAAGTAGGCTTTAATTTCTGCTCACTTTAAAAAGCTCGTAAAACAACATTTACAACCTTTAACTGTCTTCATTTAGATATATATTTGGTCGGGGATGGTGCTTGGCTGCTGCTATTAAGGACAAATGAGTACGTTATGAAATTATCCCGAGAGTAGTGGTTAATGTGCATGTAGGTGATTTGCTGTGTTAGTGGAAAGAATGTCATTGTTTGTATATCCTCTGCTGGGATTTAAAATTTCCTAATTATTACTGGACAATCCCCCACCCCCACACACATACATATGTACACACCGCAGTTCTTTAACTCAAGTGTAGCTTGGAGAAGAAAGAAAAAGTAACAAGGGAGATTTTTATTTCAGGAATGAAGTCTTCAGAGAAAGTAGGTGTTTAAAAATAAAGCTGGCGTTTACTAGCCATGTTGATTTTACTTAAGAGCAACAATGACACTTGGAGACACTGTGCTGTGTCACTTGTTACATTTTAGCCAGGTGGTTGCTTTTTCACCACTAATGTAAGCTTTTGTTTTTCAGGGCCTAGAAGACCGAAGACCAGGTATTTCAGAAAAAGTGGGGCTTTGCTAGAATGTCAACGAACCAAGAAAATCGGCAGTACCCCTTTCTCTGAAGAGTGCCTGGGTCTGTAGGAACTGCACAGACTTGTCTGAGGGACTCTACCAAACCATCTGCATCTCACAGCTCCAGACTTGAGCCTGGCTGGGACTCTCTCATGTGGATCTAAGGGAATGCTTTACTATGGCTGCTGTTGTCCGACAGAACGACCTGGTGTTTGAATTTGCAAGCAACGTCATGGAGGATGAACAGCAGGTGAGTCAGAAAAAAATTGGATTTAGTGTATCTCCTAGGAGTTTTTCATTAGTATCAGAATCTTATTTACTTTGTTAGTAGGCAAATGTACTGAAATAAAAATTTAGAAATTAAGTATTAGGCAATAATGTCATTTCATATTTTAAGTGTCAGTTAATTCACTGTATGTAAATGCTACCATTAGTTTTGATGTGGTAACAAGAAAATAATATCTGTGGTTCATCTTGTTTTTCTAAAGTGAGACCAAATAGTAACTGCCATGTAATATTTTGGATTACTTAAAGTTCTAGAGAACATACCAATGTCTATAATTAATCTTCTAATTATGGGCTATGTTTTTCAAGGAGGTTAAACAATTTGGCCATCTCACAATCCCATTTCTCACTCCAAAGAATATGACCCTGAGGAAGTCACTTTCCTAACTCTTCTAGACCTGGATTTGTCATGTGTAGGGGAACTGAACCAAGACTTTTGAAGTCACCGTTCATAGAATATATATGTGTGGGATACATACATACATATATGTGGAATATATGCTGCTTCCTTTATTGCCTTTATGTGAATTAAGATCTCAAGAGATACTGAGGTGAAAGATTTAAGCTTAACTTCGATCCTCTGATCCTCCCACAGTGTGAGGCTAGAACAGAATCTCTTGGAACTTGGTGATTTACTTAATCTAAAACAGGCAAGGATGTGAGAGGTGGTGTGGGGACTAGTGTGTTGAATAGAGTTAGTTTGCTAGAGTTTTTTGAGAAGCAGTGGGTTTAAAGTGTGTTCAATAAAGTTGGTTCATAGGCTACAATAAGCCTGGTTCCAAAACTTTAAGTAGACCAATTTTAAGGTCTGTTTTTCTTCTAGAAGCATAGTTACTACAAGTAATACAATTGATTCTTGGTTTTGATGGGACATTGCAGTTTCTTAGCTGTTTGCATTGGGTACGGAAGTGATACAATACCCAATACAAATGGTGAGAATTTGGACTAAGTAGCCTTAAAATCAAGATGAGATTCAACCGAGGGGAAAAAAGGCTACAACTAAAATAGAATTAAAGTTGATAGGAATGTAATCTAGAGATGATAGAAGTGAGATTTTTGGAGGAGAAGGTGTTTTTGAATTGTTTTGAGACAGGATGTTTGTGTACATACTGAAGTTTGAAAAATAGTGTTCTGATTGTGGCTTCTTCATAGAGGAAAGGTCTTGTGATAGGTCCTGGATTTGCTGTGGTGAGGTTTGATGTGGCACAGAGGATGTGGCTTCAGAGGACAGAGCACTAAGGTGCTCACTGGTGTGCTCTAGTACATGGCTTTCACACCCTTGACCATGAGATACCCATTTGACGTTATACACCATGTTCCTGATGTGTATAAGTAGACTTAGAGGTATACTGCACAATAATGTTTGTACACTTACTATGCTGGATGTACTTAATTTATCTTAGGTTTTGTTTTTATGTCTTCAGCAAGAGTATCAGTGGCTTTACCCCCCCCCCCCCAATTTATTATTTTGTTCACTTTTTATTTTGTTTGTGTTTTGTTTGTCTGAGGCAGGGTGTCACTATGTAGTTCTAGCTGGCCTAAAACTCCTTATGGAGACCAGGCTGGCCTCAAATTCACAGATATCTGCTTTCCAAGTGCTGGGGTTAAAGGCATGTGTTACCGAGTCCAGCAATTTTTCATTTTTTTTTTTTTTTTTTTTTTTTTTTTGAGAAAAGGTCTCACAATGTTACCCTGGCATGTCTAGAACTCCTAGGCTGACCTCAAATTCAGAGATCTGCCTACATCTCCCAAGTGCTGGCTCACTTTCTAGGTTTTGAGACATGGTCTCATATAGCTAAAGGCAGCTCTGAGTTCCTGGTATTCAGGCTCCTGTCTACTGACTGCAGACATGAGCCACCACACCTGGTGTCTTTTCTTTTCCTCTCCTCCTCTTTCCTTTCTCAATTCTTTTCTTCCACCCTTTTTTTTTCTGTTTACTTAAAGACTTTATATATTAACCTGTGAAGTAAATGCCAGTAGCGTTATTTTGCGATGAGGAAATTGAAACATAAATTAAGGACTTTGCTCCAAACCCTATAGCTAGTAATTAGAAGAACCACAACTTGAACCCATGCAGTTTGACTTTTGATAATGTGGACTCCTGGCTGCTCTAGTTGGGGTTGGGTTCATTGCTCATATTATCAATTTTTTTTTAAAACTGTGGCTCTGTCCCCTTGTTTAGTTTTGTTTTAATTTTTATTCATTGCTTTTGAAATAAGATTTTTTTTTCTCCCACCCCTCTCCCCAACTCCTTTCTCTCATCCAGGGTTTTTTCTGTGTAAAAGCCCTTGCTGTCCTGGAAATTGCTTTGTTGATCAGGCTGGCTTCAAACTCACAGAGATCTGCCTGCCTCTGCCTTCGGAGTGCCACCTTGCCTCTCTGAGATAAAATCTTATCATGTAGCTTGTGCTAGCCTTGGATTTAAGATCTTCCTGCATTCATCTTCTGAGTTCTTGAGGTTAGGATTATAGGCATGTGCCACATAACTTAGTTTTATTTTTATATGAAAGTACTGACTTGACAGTTTAAAATCACATAATACAAAAATGCATAACATGTGTCAGATGAGGCAGAGTATACTTGCAATCCTACCACTCAGATGGCTGAGGCAGGAGGATTAGGAGTTTAATACCAGCCTTTGCTACAAGATGAGTTTGAGGCAGCCTGAGACCCTATCTTAAGATTTTAAAAAATAGTCCATAAAATTGTGTGTGTTGACCTTGTAGTATTGGGTGACACATTATTTACCCTACTGGTTCTTAACCATGCCCACTACCAGTATTTTTCATATTATATATGGTATGACAATGAAAAACCCTTGTTTGGGAATGGTCATACCATACCCTCTGTGATGGCAATGGTGGTTAAGAATTAAAATACTGAAATTAGAATGCATGGGTTGAATATTGGCTTAATTTACTACAGTGACCTATATTGCGGTAAATAAGGATCAGGATAAACAAATAGGCCGAATAGATGTTTATTCAGGGAGAAATAACTGACAACCTAGACAGATGAACACCAGGAAATTCAACCCGATCCTCTCCTGTCCGAGTCACGCCAGAAAGCGCCTTCCTGGCCCCCTCCGACCTCCTTCCTCAGGTCACCTCCGCCCATCGCTCCACCCCCAATGGGCGTGGTCAGTGCTACAGAAGGACTATCTCACTACAGACCTACACATTACTTAACCCTTTGTGCTTTGCTTTTCTCAATAGGGCAGTAAGAATGAAAATTAAAAGGCCTAAACTGTAGGACTGATGTGAGGGGTAAATGAGTTGATGCTTATAGGACTTGGAGAACCATTCCCAGAACGTAACTTACTTATACTGACCAAGTACTGTCATCTTGTCAGTACACCTTTGTGTCTATTCGGTGTATTTTTATACAGTTGTACAAGGACATCTGAAAATCATTAAAAATGGGGTTGCTGCTGGTTTTAGTGGCATGTTTTCAATTTCAGCACTTGACATTGAATCCCTGTGAGTGTGAGGCCAGCCTGGTCTACATAGAGAGTTCTAGGCCAGTTAGGGCTTAATAGTGAGAACCTTTAAAAACAAACAAACAAACAAACAAAAAACCACAAAACAGAAAATAAACCAAAAAAAAATATTACTGAGTTTACTAAAAGAATAATATAAAACATCCTTCTCCAAGATGGTATTAGTTTCCACTACAGTGTATTTCTCATATCATTTCCAACACAAATCCTCCATTTTCTTTTATGAATCATCTATTGATTGAAGATGATATTTTACTACTTTAATTTGCATTTCCATAAATACTAGTGGTGATGTAGCTTATTGTTTTTAAATTTTGTTTATTGACCATGTAAACTTCTTTTGAGTTACTTAGTGTCCTATTGCCCAATACTTCTTTATCATGTTAGAACCATTATTGTCTTTGTAATCTTTTATAATTAGAATGGGTAATTTGTCTCTTCTTTTGATATTTTCTCCCAGTCTACTAACAGTTTTTAATTATATGTGTTATGTCCTATAGAAATTTCAGAAGTTCATTTAAAATTTATCAGCACTGTAAATTAAAATTATCTATTTTGGGCTTTTGTTTTTCCTTAGCTTCCTCTTTTTTTTTTTTTTTTTTTTTTTTTTTTTTGAGACAGGGGGTTTCTCTGTGGCTTTGGAGCTTGTCCTGAACTAGCTCTGTAGACTAGGCTGGTCTCAAACTCACAGAGATCCACCTGCCTCTGCCTCCTGAGTGCTAGATTAAAGGTGTGTGCTACTACCACCCAGCTCTTAGCTTCCTCTTAACACAAATATTATTAAGGTTTTTTTTTTTTTTCCTTCTAGTATGTTTCACAACTTTAGCTCTTCAGCTCATCTGAAGCCTGTTTTTACATGGGGGTGCTAAAGTGATCTAATAACTCTCCTCCAGTGGTAGACTTCTATTACCATTGACTGTTACATGTGTTTCCATTCTAAAACTGCCATCCTTGTTCATATATTGAACTGCTTAAAGTACAGACAGAAAATTTGAACTTTCTAATGTATTGTTTAATTGAAATGTTTTTATATTGTGCCAATATCATATTGTTTTCTTTTAAGTTTTTTTTATTGTTCATGTGCATTGGTGTTTTTGCCTGCATGTATGTGTGTATGAGGGTGTTGAATTCCCTGGAATTGGAGTTGCAGACAGTTGTGAGCTATCATGTGGGTGCTGGGAATTGAACCTGAGTCCTCTGGAAGAGCAGCCAGTGCTGTCAACTGCTGCACCATCGCCCCAGCCCCCTTAAATTGTTTTCATTATCACTTTATAGACTTGACATGATAAGATAATCCCCACTTCAAAGAGTGCAGTACTATTTCTGCCCACTTTCAGCCTTGGAATCCATTCATTTGCTTTCTATCTTTGTATGTTTGCATATTATGGGCATTTTTATCAATGGAATCATAACATACATTTCCTTATGGTTGGGTCCCTCCCCCTTTTCTCTCTCTCCTATTTAGG